TGTAGGGAAGACCATATATAATTTCTGTGTGACATTCCTGTTCCATGAGAAGAATGACAGTATCATTTTAATCCTTCACAGAGGAAAAGGGAGGCAAGAAAAGAAAGAAACAGAAGCAGAAGCTACTGTTCAGCACCTCTGTTGTTCACACAAAGTGATTCTACTATTCAAGAGAAGTTTCCTCTCCTGGTTTTCTTTTTATTTTGCTTTGTTTTGCTGCTATAGTTTAAGTATTTAAATTTGAACAGACTAAACTTGTGTTTCCAGGGCTTCTAGGGGGTTCAGGAGGAAACCATGACAGTGTATGTTGAAGTAAGATCTTTTGATTCCAACTGCTTGATCAGTTTATACTGAAACAAAGTTTTGAAAGAAACAATCCAGAGACAAATCAGCCAAGGCTTCTAGTCTGTGCCAAGTCAGTTCTTTTGGCCTAATAAGCAGTATGAAAGTCTCTACAGCTGTGTGGCACTGGCAGAATACTGCAGTATTACCTAAGTGGAAAGCCTATAGGCAGAGCGCCTTTATTTTGCTGGAAGTATTTATGGGCAGAAGTCCATCTGACTGTGACAGTAGTGCTGTTTCAGTAAAGCTGTTAAACCGCTCTCTGGCGAAACTGGTTTCCGCTGCACTGGAAATGGGCAAAAGAACTTCCTGGCTTTAGAGTGTTAGCTGCTATATCTGTTCTTTTTCTAAAGAGCAAGAATTCCTCCTGTTCTCCTGGCTTGGAAAGATTTAAAGCTGAGGTGAGTGTAAAGCAGAACTTGGCTACTTGGTTTTGAAGTGACTCTTGATGAATTTGTGTATTTCAAAATGCATACTGGTACTAGTGGTAGAAGGAACCTCCTGGCTTCTCTCAGTTGTTCAACTCTGTTTTAATGTGGATGAGGCTGCTCATTTTTTTTTTTTTTGCCAACCATGGGCTACATGTTCTTTGTAACCTGATCATCTAGAATAAACACTCCACCCTAGGGCTTTTGGTAACTACCTGAATAATATTTTGACATTGGCTGCTCTTGCATTGGAAGAACAGCGGATAGCTGGAGTCTGTAGGTAACTTTTATCTCCCAGCAAGAAACTGGAGTCTCTTGTACTGGGATGAGGGCCTGTGTCCCCTTGGTTCTGGGATGTAAGTTGATCTGCACTAGGCACCTCGGGCTATAAACATGCTTCTTCTGGAGCCCTCCCTGCTCTGTCTTTGGGTGGTCACATTCTGCACTGCTTGTGGTTTGATTTGAGGTAATGAGTTAAATGGTGTCGGTTTTGTTGAATAAAATGAACTGTAGGTATAATGTACCAGTCAAGGCCAAAAGTTGCAATAAATCATATGCACACACACTTGCAGTACTGCACACTTCCTGAGCTACAGCTGAACTGTTGTATCAGTGTGGAGCACAATACCATGTAGTTGCACAGATTCAAATCTTACCTTCCTACTGACAGATTTCATGCCAGGGAGATGGTATAAAGCACCACCTAACTTCCAGTGCAAGACTGGCACGTGTCTTCTGTTATCTTGAGCCTCACCTGGCACCAGTGGTCTCACTGCATTTGCACAGGCTTCAAAAAGTTGATGTGCGCTCTCCCTCTGACGTGGTAACTGAGCAAGGAAGCATGTGTTTGAGACTCCTGGAGTCAGGTATTCTACCACCACTGGTAAATTCATTGGTTGTGTCCCTATTTAAAATGTTTATGTCAATACATTGAGGCTGGATTTCAAAGCAGTAGGTTCCATATTACATGAGTGCTTCTTCAAGGTACTTAAGTGCACGCATATAGGAAGCTGGTACCAAAGAGTATAGTTTGCAAAACTCTTATGTGGCTGTAAATGAGAAAGAAGGGGAAAAGGGGGGACATAAAGAATGCTTTAGCTGCTACAGGAGTATAGAGGAAACACTTGCAAAACATTCTTTGAAAGCAGCTTGACTTCACGCTTGGTCTCAATTAACCACACTCGATGGAAAGATAGTACAGCTTGTCAAGAGATTGCAAAACTAAGATGAGATGCCTGAAAGAGGTAACACATCTTGCTGTTAACGCTTTACATACACATTGGGAAATTATTAGTGAGGGTAGAGAAAGCAACTAAGGACAAAAGATTCAAGTATGCCGTTAACTGTGTTCACAGTACTATTGTTTCCTATTTGTAATAGTCATTTTAAGCCATGGAACAGGAGTAACTACTTAGTGTCTAACCAGTATCTGTTGTGTTCTATTATCTCTACACATTTATAGTCAACTTTTCTTTGTATTGGGAAGAGAGACAGAATAGCTGGCGCTGGTGTAACTCACCTCTACATCTCACAGGCACTAGAACAAGTAAGGGAAGTGATGTGGGCAAGGCAGACTGTCCCTTCTGCAGGGGCAGTCTCCACAGGACAGATCTTCAAGTTGTGTCTTGGTTTCCTATGGATTCAAGAGATAAGACCAGCAATGCTACTTTCCTGTAACTGATTGGTGTAAACTTAATAAATATGTAAGCAGTACTTGTACCTATGAGTTTTATAATGGGTTGGATAGAGTTGAGCCTTACAGCTCTAACCTTGCATTCCCTGTGGTCTCTGCTCCTGTGTACACAACTGGTGCTTTTGTGACTCAAAACAATGGGTAGCCCTACAGATAACAGGCACACTTGAAGATACTGGTTTTTACCTTAAGATGTTAATGCTTTTTCTGTACTGAGAGTAACTACGTTTGTTGTTTGTGCCAACTGCCTAAAGCTCACTTCTACCTCAGCATGAAGATCACATTGCGCTTCTACACTCCTTGGGAGTACATGTGGTTTTTGACTCCTGGAGTGAAACAGGCAAGTAACCTACTTAAGTAAAACCATTTTTTTTAAATTATTTTTTATTTCTTTAAGAACACTCAGAATGGGGGAATGAAGTTTAAATATATACAGATGGTTTTTCTGTCCCCTGGTTTGCTTAACACTGAAGATAACTGGTAACACCTTGACCACACAAGTACAGGACAGAGGTGAACACTAACAAGTAACATTCAGTCTGTCTCTGTGCCATCATCATCTTCCTCATCTCCACTTTGAGACTGCTCTTCTGTAAGGGAACAGCTCAACAAGGACTTCTGTATACACCGTCTCTCCTCTGCAATAAAGAGCAACAGAGGCTCATTACTTTTCTCTCTTCACATACGCTGGAATATTCTCAACTTCCAAAGAAAGAACATTTCTCAGTTCAAGAATTCAGAAGTAGCCCAGCATATCCCACAGCAGCCCCAGGAATTGAGCTGCATGTTAGGAAAGCAGCTGGAGGAACTCACCTTCATTTGTACAGTTTTGCAACAATGTCAGCAGCTGTCTTCTATTATACTGAATTAGAAATTTCTGACATGTTCTTATAGTACCTGTAGGAGTCATAAGAACAATATGTAACAATCTACAAAACCAGTATCTTTTTTAGTATATTTTTCTGAAGATGATTGTAGCAAGTGCCAATTGCCCCAGACAACATCTGCCCCAGGCAGTGCTAAGAAGGGGCTGTAGACTTCATTTCCCCACTGTTGAGGTTAAGTGGTGGAATAATAATTTCTAACATGTAGTGCCCATTCTTTGCCCCAAGTGGTTAATTTTCAGTACTTTGAAAATATATTTTAAAAAGAAAATAATGTAATACAGTGTTTGCTGCTCTCATTTTGTGTTAAATGTAATTAAGATTCAAGCAGAATTAATGAGGGTCTCAACAAAGAAATAGGTGGTGCCTATTTCTTACTCAGATTTGCTAGAAGCAGCTCTGTTATTGACATGTACGATGTGTCTATCACACCCACAGCAGGAAGATGAGGCTCTTCCATTTTAGCAGGCCTGGAGCGTATGACTAAGCTCTGCGACCTCCCCCCAGGCACCCGGGACCCCGCACCCAGCACCAGGGCAGCTGGGGCAGCGGCTGACCTCCGACGTGCAAGGTGTTGAGGCTGCAGGGGTACCGCTGGTTCCGGTTCTCCAGCTGCCTGACGAAAGGGAGCGCGGAGCAGAGCAGCCTGTAGGAATCCTTGCGGCACCGCAGCAGCACAGTCCCGGTGTAGGCGTTCAGGTATTTCACTGCGGGGGCAACAGGGGCACCGGTGAGTCCGGACCCC